ATCAGAGAAATGGGCTGTTGCTATGGTTGAGGAACTTGAATCACTTCACAAGAACCAGACTTGGGACTTGGTGCAGTTGCCTAAAAAAAAAGAGCCATCGGGTGTAAATGGGTCTTCAAGAAAAAGGAAGGAATTCCAGGTGTTGAAAATGCTAGATGTAAGGCTCGACTCGTAGCTAAAGGCTACAATCAGAAGGAGGGAATTGATTATGATGAAGTTTTCTCTCCTGTGGTAAAACACACTTCCATTCGTGTGCTGCTGGCTATAGTTGCTCAATTTGACTTAGAGCTTGAGCAACTTGACGTGAAGACTGCTTTTTTGCATGGCGAGCTTGAGAAAACTATTTATATGGCCCAGCCCGAGGGCTATTATGTAGAAGGCAAGGAAGATCATGTTTGTAGATTGAAGAAATCCTTGTATGGTCTGAAGCAGTCACCAAGACAGTGGTATAAGAGATTCGACAGCTTTATGATAGGGAGCGGTTATCATAGGAGCAACTATTATAGTTGTGTCTACTTTAGGAAGGGTTCGGATGGATCCTTTGTCTATCTTCTCTTATACGTGGATGACATGCTCATTGCTGCAAAGAACATGTCAGATGTGTTGATCTTGAAGAAACAGCTCAGTGAGGAGTTCGAGATGAAAGATCTGGGTCCTGCCAAGAAGATCTTAGGAATGGAGATTCAGAGGGACAGGAAAGGAGGGAAGTTATATCTTTCGCAGAGGAGTTATATTGAGAAAATACTTGAGAGATTTGGCATGCAAAACGCTAAGCCCGTCAGTACACCGTTGGCATCCCATTTTAGACTCTCAGCTCTACATTCACCTCAATCAGAGGTCGAGGAGGCTGCGATGTCTCGTGTACCATACTCCAGTGCAATCGGTAGCATTATGTATGCTATGGTATGCACTCGTCCCGACATTGCGCAGGCAGTTAGTGTGGTTAGTAGATATATGGCGCATCCTGGAAAGGTCCATTGGCAGGCAGTGAAATGGATACTTAGGTATCTTAGAGGTTCTGCAAAGTTAGGCCTAGTGTTTGATAAAAACAGTTCCAACGGTACCTCAGTTGTGGGATTTGTGGATTCCGATTTTGCAGGTGATCTCGATAAGAGGAGATCTTTGACGGCTATCTTTTCACACTATCTAGTTCGGCTATTAGTTGGAGGTCAACCTTACAATCGACGGTTGCTTTGTCTACTACGGAGGCAGAGTAATATGGCGACGAGAAGCGTGAAAGAAGGAATTTGGTTAAGGAATCTTGTTCGGGAGCTTGGGCTCCAACGGAAGACAATTCATGTCTTTTGTGACAATCAAAGTGCTATATACTTGATTAGAAATCAAGCATATCATGAGAGGACTAAACACATTGGTGTCAGGTATCACTTTATTCGAGAGGTAATTGCTGAGAGAAATATGACGGTAAAGAAAATTGGTACAGCTGACAATCCTGTTGATATGTTGACCAAGCCAGTCCCCGCCAACAAGTTTAAGCATTGCTTGAACTTGATCGGCATGCTTGGTTGAGTTTGCCCCTTATGGGGCTTTGGTGGCGAGGTAAATGACAGTTCTACATTTGTTTTTGAAGTGGATATGTTCTTTCGTTGCAGTCCTTGTTTCCTGCACTAAGTTAGCTCACGTAGGCTTAGGGATGCCGAGAGAATGTGTTCGGTTTCTTGATTGTTTTATTTTGGGAAATTCAAGCCAAGGTGGAGATTTATTAAATATGTCTTGAATTTTATGTACTCGGTCCGGTTCATTACCTGACCCGACATATTTTTTGTGCGACCCGAAAGTGGAGAAAAAATTGAGATTTGATTCGCAACCAGAGCAAGCGAACAAATCTCTATGGCGGTCCGCCCAAACTGGAGCAAGCAAACAAATGTCTCGGGGAGTTCGGGGGCTACGCCCTCGAGGAAATTTTTTGGGGAGCCCTATTTATACCGCGGCTAGGTTTTCTCATTGAGATAGAGAGTGAATTTTGTTTTAAGAGAGATTTTCGTTTTGTGAGCCGAGAGGTTTTGTTAAGTCGTTTTTCGACTTTTGAAAACTGTACTCTCTTTGATTATAGTGGAATCTTATTTTGCCTCGCCCGTGGACGTAAATCACCTTGTGATCGAACCACGTAAATCCTTGTGTTCTGTATTTTTTTTTTCCGCGTTTGTTTCCAACATCGACAAATCCAAAATGGTCATAGAGTTAATTTCTCATCTCTTCAAAAGTATCTTGGTGCTTTTCAATCAATTTTGTCTGTTTCATGCATCAGCCTTCTGTGACTCATCTTTATATTGTGAAGCGCATTTTGAATTATGCCGGCGGCACAATAGATCGAGGAATGCAAATCTTGTCTAGGTCAACTATGGACTTGTATTCCTTTTGTGATGAAGATGGGGCTGGTTGCCTATTGACTCGACAATCGACTACAAGATTTTGTACCTTCTTAGTTAGTGATGATATATTATGGTGCTAAGAAGCAACGAATGGTTGCTCGATCTGGTGCTGAGGTAGAGTATTGTGAAATAAAGTCATCAGCTGCAGAGATCACTTGGATATCTTTCCTTTTAAGAGATTCAGGTATTCATCTCTCAAGTCCACCAATATTATTTAGTGATAATATTAGTGCACTTTATATGTTGATTAATCCCGTGTTTCATGTAAAAAATAAACATATCGAATTAGATTATTGTTATGTGCGAGAGAAAGTGGCTTGCGGAACTCTTGTGACTTAGTATGTTCCGTCTGTGCATCAAATTGTTGATCTCTTCTTAAAGCCATTACCTAGAAATGCTTTTGGAAACTTATGTCGCAAATTGGAAATTGAGGATCTAAAGATGTCAATCAAAATCACAAGCAAATTCTTAAAGGATATTAAAATCAAGAGATTGACAATAGATTCTTGAATATACTAAAATCAAGGGATTGACAGCTCTAGTAATATTTTCCAATGTTGTATTGTTTTCTTACAAAGTGTGATACTCTGTAATATCTTTATACAGTGGAAATCATCTCAACAAATTATACATTAAGATCAACATTCAAACACCTTTATTCTTTTATGGTATCAGAGCAGAATGTTCTGAGTTCAATTATTTTCAAACCCCTATTTCCCTTCCTAATTACTTATTCCACACTTAGGCCAAAATCTAACCTGAAAATACCAAACCTCATCTTGTTAGTGTTGCCCCTCGTCCTTCCTTAAAGTAACCATACCCTTTCGGTGAGATTGGGGCCATCACGCAACTCCGAAATCCAGGTCTCGTTAGAAGTACTAAGATGAATGGATCGACAACTCGTAGGTCTAACAGGATGCGATTGACAATCACAAGGTCAATCTCCCTAATCACATACTTGGGACGATTGCGTTCGGTTGATTTCAGCGGGGGGGCGTCGTTAATGAAGGTGATAGTAGCCGAATATTGGGCATACAAGGCCTCCGAAGTGGCTTTGATCTTTGAGAGAGAGTGTTAGAATATCTAAATATTAACCACACATTCATCTAACAGCTTAAACTTTTAGAACAGTCGGCAGTGATCCCATAAAATTTGACAATTACACTTTCATAGGATATGAATAACATGCTAAAACGAAGTGGAAGAATGCTTGACAAGTCAAAAAAATCTCAAACCTTGTTGGCATTGATCCTCAAAGATTACTCCATGGTGTTGAACATAACGTTCTAGGTAATGTTCTTCGAGACGATTCTTTTCGAGTTATTGTCCTTCGTCACAGTGAGAGAACCACGGTCCTGCTTGAACAGATGACGTAACCAAGAGGATGAATCATTGTGAATCTTGGATATCAATCTTTTCTCCCTCGCTCTTATCAATCTATGAATCACATAGATTCTTACTAAAAGTCTTGTAATGATAAGTCCAAATCGTTAGGCTCCCAATAATTAAACCCTCGATGACCCCAACTAAAGAAATTCCACTTGGATGATCTAGGGCCAATAGGGCAAATTTCGTGCTTCTACGTGCTTCTTCTTCCTCCGAGTCTTGTCAATTTTGCTGACTTGGCAATCTATCAATATAGTTTTTGGAAAGTCTAATTGTACTTTAATTGCAATTTTAATTAGTTTTAGGAAATTAAATCGCTTGCCATGCAGAAGCTCTCTTCTCCCAAATTACGTGTAGATCAAAATTTGGGAGTTTTTCTCTCTCAATCTAAATCTAGATCTAGGAGTTTCTTAGAGCCGTTCGATCTATAGCGGTTCAACATGTTGTTATTGTTGTTTTTGTCATTTCCGTATGGCGATAGTGTTGGGGAGGCCAAATCTAAGCACGCACTGCAAGCTGTAGTTTCTGAATAGGAAGATTTTGGCGTGTGTCCATCATTAGTAATGGTTCCGGTGATCGGCTATAGATTTTTTTTTGTATACTGTGACATATCTAGTCTTTTGGGATGAGAGCGTACTTATAGCTAATGTACTTTTTTGTTTTATTAGTTTTGTTTTGTTTTGCACCTCTTTTGAAATTTGCTTTAATTGGAACATTTCTATGTTCCTCTCATGTTAATTATAACAAATGAATCAAATCCTCTTTCGATTAAAAAAAAAAAACCCTTGCCATGCTGTCGACTCCACATCTCATTTCCTCCATATATTTAGTATCTACTAAATCAGTTCTAGGAAATTAATTCTCCTTCCGTCTAAGTTTAGTATTTTTTTATCGAACGACAAATTCGGTACTTGTTTAATCATTCGCCTCGACCAAAAATTGTTCTTCCAAATAACATTGCACGTGCTCTTATTCAGTATCAACTCGATCGAAACAAGATGCATCGATGTATGTACAAGTTTTAGGTAATTGTATTTTGAATTTATCTATTGCATGGTCCGACCGAGATAAGGTCAATCATTCAATTGTAGGTGAATTTTCAGTTTCTCCGACCAATTCAAGCGAAAGAAACAGCTGACCTCACCGAAAAAACGACGAAAACGAGTCCCACCACCAACCTTTCAGATTCGACGCGCCCGTCACCCGGGGTCCCCGTCACCCGCGGCTTCCGGCGAAATCCCATTGGTCCCCACCTTGTGGCAGCTCGCACCTGATTGGCCCGTCACCGTTCCCCCGGACGCAGCTCGGGCGGGGGTCCTCGAAAGCGAGGTGCGCACGAGCACCTCACCGCGTTTCGCCGTTGAGTTCTTCAAAAGCCGAAAGCGAAGAAGAGAGAGAGAGAGAGAGAGAGAGAGAGAATCTCCCCCCATCTTCTTCTTCTTCTTCTCCTTCTCTCCGATCTCTGCATATTCCTCTCTCGAAAAGCGCATTCGCTTCCTTCGCCTGCTCGGAGGGGAAGCTCCGGGTCGGGTCCGGTGGGGTGGGGCCGGGGCTGCGATCCGGCCGGTGAATCGGCGCCGCCGGGCGGGTGGGCGATCCCGAGGAAGGCGACGCGTTCTGGTGAGTCTCTTCGCTTCGCGCTCGGTCGGTCGTGGGGGGGCGCGGGGCATTTCGCGCGCGGCTCGCGGTTTCGGGTTCTAAGACCGTCGCATGGGGAGTGCTTGAGTTTTGCTTTTCCCTGTCGGTGAGATCTGCGCTCTGCGATTTGGATTGCCGTTCGGATGGCGTCAATTTTGAATTTTGAAAGTTGGGTTCGTGGAAATGAGGCGGCTTTGCGTCGTGTTGGGTTGAAGGCGAGATCTGGTGGAGGTCTGGTCGTGATGGTGGCGTTCGGGTTGAGTTTTTGATATTAATGAAGCATTGGATTGAGTTGATGATCGTAATGAATTAGAGGTCTTACAATTGTGTCTTTATTGATGAGTCCGGATTTTTGTCCTGCGAGCATCTAGCATTGTTTTGAGGCATTGATGATCATGTTTTTGACATTAAATGCAAGTCTTAGGGAATTGCTTCTCTCATGATGAAGATTGAATTAATCCTCTACTTGATTTTGTACTGATTTTGGAGTTTAGCTGTAGATACATCTGGCAAGATCGTGACATTTTAGGGGTAGATCAGATCAATGAAGAACGGGATTATAGAATGCAGCGTTTGCCACTCAAAGCTTTTGTCACCAAGCTCCAAAACCATATCGAAGGCCTATGACCGGCACAGAAGCAGAGTATCGTCCAAGCAGCGTGCCCTCAACACCCTCTTGGTGGTCGGGGATTGTGTCTTAGTTGGATTACAGGTAATTACTCTCATTTATATCAATTTTTGCTTTCCTTCCCTGGATTGTCTGGTTCATTAGGAAAACCTTTTCCGCCATTCCCACAAATTAGTAGCAAAAGGCGCAGTGCATGTTCTTGAATTAACGCACGAAGTATTAGTAAAAGCATTTCGTCCTCTTCCCCATCCGTTCTCAAAGGAATATGTATTTACAGTCATCTACTAGCTTATATTCCTTCAGTTGTCCTAATGCGCTTCTAGAAACATGAAATGCTTGAGTATCCTCATGGATCTGGTGTGGTTTTAGAAACTTGACGTTTCACTGGATGTATTAATCAATCATACATTACGTTTTGTCGTTGACTTCGCTTAGTAGTCCTTGTTGACTTTGTATGTTTTAAAAAAAAAACAAGCATTATTCTTCATGATTTCTATTGAGTCATTGGTTCTCCCAAACGGTTGACTATTTTTACCATTTTGTGTTTTTGTAAACTACGGAATTAGATTTTTGGCTTGTCTTTTGATAGTCTACTTGTAGGATCTTAGTCCATGCTTTTAGAAGGTGCAAAGACCATCTGACGTGTTTATGACTTCTGTTCTGCCAGCCTGTTTTGGTATATATGTCCAAGGTGGATGGAAAGTTCAAATTTAGCCCGATCAGCGTTAATTTTCTGACTGAGCTTGCAAAGTTGGCGTTTGCAATTGTTATGCTTTTGTTCCAGGTACTTTTCCTTTTTCTCTTTTTTCCTGACTCAATATACATCAAAAGTTTCATGTTGTCCAGCTTTTCGTATATAATATTACAATTGATTTGAGACTGTGGAAGGAGGATTGTCTCTTGTGTTGATAATGTTAATAAGCATGTAATGTACATTGATTTTGTTGCTCAAATAAAGACCAGCTTGTCAGGAATTGAGTTGTTGGGTGGGTGGGTTTGGGGAGGGTCAGGGGCAGGGTGAGTTTAGAAGATAGTGGTATTGTCTGAAATACAAAAAAAAAATTATAATTGCATTTTATTTCTATATCTCATGCTAAGTTCTTGCCGTCTCAATTTACTCTGTAGGCAAGGCATCAAAAAGTTGGAGAGAAGCCATTGTTATCAATATCAACTTTTGTGCAGGTACCAATTTGATACTTTAATCCACCTTAGTTTTTATGTATTTTTAGTTAAAGTCAAGCCTTTTACTCTATTGACAGAGTACATTTAAATAAATTTACATTGGAAAAGTTAGCATGTCAGTTTTTTGCACCATGATCTGTCATTTGCTTTTACAAAATTGTCAATGAGTACTTTTGCAAGTAAACATAGAATATGCGCTTGCATGATTAACATTCTCCTTGTTGTGGTTACTTCTATAAACCTAGGCTGTTGTACTTTGAGTTTCTGGTATTCTAAATCAGGGAATCAACAAAAGGATGAATAAAAGTTGTAAGACGGTTAGCTAGCACCACATTGAGACTGCTACAGAGGAGGGAAAGACTCACATGACTACTAGCCGAAGAGCTGGCACTAAGTAGGCCCGGTGGCGCTATAATGGACTTTCAATAGTGTAGCCACTGCAGAGTATGGAACTGAAAGAAACAGGCATGTATGAGGAGGATGTGGGCATCGTCGCGGGTGCCTATTATGCCCATGGGATGAAGGATGGGGGAGTTTGCAGTTTTCGCTGGGGTATAGCACTGAATCGCTTAGTGGCCTGTAGCAGCAAGATTAGTTCCACGGTCACCTCCCACCAGTAAACTTGCAGGTCAACATTAGGTTTACCTGCTAGGTCATGGACTGGTGTCGGCGACACGATAAATACTTTTGCTTGAAAGATATCAGTTTGGAAGGCTGAAGAATGTTTTGGAAGAAGGATGTCCTTTTACTTTTTTTTTTTCTCAGCAACTAAGCATTTGCACACGATCTGTTCAATTCAGATCGATATATCTCAATGAAACATAGCCTTAGCCATCCTTTTAATTGGCCTAGCTTTTGTTTTGATTTTTGTTTACAAGTTTCATCTCTTTGTAGGCAGCACGCAGCAATGTGCTTCTTGCTGTTCCAGCTCTTCTCTATGCCATCAATAACTATTTGAAGTTCATCATGCAGGTATTTTTGCTTCATTGACATATCTATATGCTGCTTGACCTAGTGATGTTCTGCCCTTATCATGATCTAAGAGATCTTTGGCTTGACTCCTACATTTGCCCTCCCTCATCGTACATATTAAGACAGCCTTGAGTACCAACTAACCTAATTCTCTTTATAATCATGAGTTTGACCATACCCTGAAATAGTTGATGCTGGAAATGAGGACGTGATTTGATACCAAAAGGCATTTTTTTACGTACATGACCAAGAAATTTATGGAAGTCTTAATGTAGCTTTACAAGTGAACCTTATTGAAAGGGGAGTTTTAAGTATGGAATGGATCGCCACATGCGCATAAGAAGAAAGCCTACCACACACTTATGATGATAATAAAATTTAAATGACAAGTTTGTTAGTGAGTGTCCATTTGGCTTCTCTTATGATATGCTGTTCTTCCTACAAATGGTTTGACACAAGTTGTTAAAATTAAATGGAGTGAACAAGTTTGCTCAAACATAATAATATGACTGATTGTGCTTTATGATTGACATGTTTATAGATTCTTAATCATTGCCTATATATACGTATTAATGAATATTAAGTGTATTTTCCTATGTACGATCTTAATATATAAGGAATGTTAAACGCATGCTTAGTGTGTTTGTGTGATTGCACTTGAACTTTTAAGCGGAGTATCATTTAATGACACACCTTGCTTACTGCTAGAAAATTTGTGCCGCTTTCGAGCAATAGCGTTGGCCCTTATTCATTCTTTTGGGGACTTGGTTTGTTGTTAATGTTGGAGTTGCTGCAGCTTCTACATAGATTGGCGACTAATAATTGGGATTACATTTTTCTGCAGTTGTACTTTAATCCCGCAACAGTGAAAATGCTAAGCAACTTGAAGGTACTCTAATTCATAATCTGTTTCTCTTGTTTTTCCATTTGATAGTAGTTTTGGCTGTCAGAGTTCACTCAATGTGCTTTTCCTAATTTCATGTTATCACAAATTCTGCAGGTTCTGGTTATTGCAGTTTTGTTGAAAATAATAATGAAGCGCAGATTCTCCATAATTCAGGTAATTTGGGCTTTGATATCCTGTTTCCTTTGTTTTTCAGTTCAGACGAAGTTTTGGGTTTTGGGTGGGAGGGGCATTTAGTTGATTCCACAATGTCAATAAAGGTTCTTTTAGCAGGCACAATACACCATCTTTACTATTTGAACATGTAAATTGAATATCTTTCTATTGGCAGTGGGAAGCTCTTGCTCTCTTGCTCATTGGGATTAGCATTAATCAGCTGCGCTCACTACCCGAAGGACCTGCTTTGGGTCTAACTGTTGGAACGGGTGCATACATCTATACATTTATTTTTGTAAGCGATTTCTTGTTGCCTTTTCATCTTATTCGTTGTTAGCTTCTCTTTTGGACTATTTTGTCTGGTACCTGGATTTATTTCATCATAAGGGGAGCCCATGTTTTATTTTGCAGATCACAGTTCCGTCTCTCGCCTCTGTATATAATGAATATGCTCTGAAGAGTCAATATGATACAAGTATATACCTTCAGGTAATATTTGCAACATGTATAATTTTGCGATGCTCCTATGTCTTGTTATCTTGGCAGACTACACCATGTTGCAATATATGCTGATGGAGATTGCTAGAGATCTACTATCCTAAAAGTTTAGGAAAAGACATAACAATCTAGCATATTTCTTGACCTGCGTCGTCCTCCACAAGTCCAAATCTATCCACTAACACAAGCAGAAAAACCTTAAAAAAAAAACAAAGAGTGCATGATAGGATTGGAATTATTGGTCTGTGTGCTTTGGTGCCGACATTTGTTGCAAAAGATTGAGATGTCAGGAAACAGACTCGCGGTGAATGTCTGGTGTATTTCTTGTTTTGCAGAAACATTTCAAGTAGCTACTATGGTTGATTTTTTTAAGGGCCATTTTCTTGACATGTCCACCTGTGTATAAGCCAAATTTTCATACATTGAACATTGGATGGATGTGACCATGTCAAATTGACAATCGCAGGCCCAAAATTCGAAAAAAAGAAAAACAGATGAGTGATAGCATCGGAATTCTTGACGTGCATTCTGGTACCATGTGGACACCATTTACTCCAAAAAATTAAGTTAGGAACGAGCTCACATTGCATATCCAGGGATTTTCTCACTTATTTTGGAGAAACATCTCAACCAAATAGTTCATATCGGGCTATATTTGTGCTATCTCTTTCGTACTACATTTGTTACTTTTTTTTTATTTTTTCTTGCTTTGTGGGTCTCATCTTATACCCTTTTTCTAATTCTTCCTCTTGCAGAATATATTTTTATATGGATATGGTGCTATATTTAACTTTATGGGAATTCTTGGAACTGCCATTGTTAAAGGTATTGGCATGCTTTTAAGAAGCTGTTTAGTACATAAACTTTGCATTATGTCCGAAGTTTTTTCTTTTATTTGATTGTGATGCATTATGTCTTCGCTCTATTGGATGACATCCTTGAGTGCGTTAATTTGATGGGAATCAATTTTTAATATATTGCAAAATACTTACAGTTTTTTATTGCTTTTTCTTTTCAGGTCCTAGCAGCTTTGACATCCTGCAAGGACATTCAAGAGCTACCATGCTTCTAATCTTTAATAATGCAGCCCAAGGAATTTTATCTTCCTTTTTTTTCAAATACGCAGGTTTGACTTTGTTTTGCTTTTTCTGCTTATTATATTTTGCGCATCTTTAGTTAGAACTCTCTAACTTCTGAAGTGATCATATTATGCTTAACAGATCTGTCTGTCACTTCTAATTTTTTTGACTTAATTTTGTCTCACTCGCATCCTCGGCTTTTCTTAGATCTTTGATGGAATTAGTCTCTTTCCCCTAATTTCTGCATTGGTTGCAAATAGATACAATTTTGAAGAAGTACTCGTCAACAGTTGCCACAATATTCACCGGCATAGCTTCAGCTGCACTCTTTGGTCATACTTTAACTGCCAACTTCGTCTTAGGAATTTCCGTTGTGTTTATATCAATGCATCAGGTAATTGTGGATGAAAGTGGCTTCTTTGTACAGATTTGGGTTTGATCAAATTTCATAAAGTTAACCATATGGCTAAGAGAGTGCTTCTGCATCTTTCCCTCAGTTCTTTTCACCCCTTTCAAAGGTCAAAGATCCACCACAAAATGGGACTCTGGAATTAATTGATCATCATGACAGCCACAGGTATTTCCAATATCTATTCATCTTTCTACATCCTTTACCTCATGGAAAAGCAGTGATAAAGATGTGGTTCTAGTGCCTGTATTTGGAGTTACTTATCTGTTGATAATGCAGATTTAATTGTTCCTGATGCTGTTGTTACCTTATGTTAATGTATTATTGTCAATGAATCTTACATAGATGGAAATGATCAAAGAAATTATTGGCCATTACCTACCAGAATTCTAGAATATTTCACGTAGAAATGATCCCAAGTTTAGTGATCATTTATAAATATGGCAGGTCTTTGCCTTGCAATCTAAGTTTAGTGATCTTTCTTTATTTCCAGGTCTAAGGATTCCTTTATAAACATGGCAGCGGGAGCAAATGAAGAGGTATGAGCTTTGTCTTGTTAAACTAATAACTTCTAATCCTTCTTAAATTCATTCATCTGTTAATCTTTATCTATATTTATTTGCCTACTCCAGGCTAGTCATCGGGTAGGATCTGATGAGAAACAGCCTCTACTTCCCAGATAGGTTACATCAGGTCTGATACTCCCTTTTCCATTTTTCAGATTCACTTTGTACTTCTTTTGTGTCTGCTGTCAGACTTTGCTTACTGGTATACTTAAGATTTTTATCTCTCAAGATCCCAAAACGGATCTGGCAAAGTGGATGTTTGCAGTAAAGCTAGCTAGAGAGCTTTAAGAATGAGACTGATAGTTGGTCTTACTGCTAGTAGACTTCGCATTAAGGTTTCGTTTGTTTGAAGGAAAACTGTTTCTGGACAATTATTTTCCGACTTTCTGGTGTTTGGATTAAAAAAAACTAATCGATCTACCAAAAAAGTTTTTCAGAAACCGAAAACAAGCTTAAATTGGGGGAAAATGACTTTCCCTTCTGGTAAGAAAGAAATCACTTTCCCTAAACCACCAAACAAATGAAAACTAACCATTTTCATGAAATTTTTTCTTGAAAATGATTTTAATGAAAAATATTTTCTTGTATGATGAAGTTTTCAGTGAAACAAATGCACCCTAAGTGTACAGAGAAGGTATGGGTTTTCCCGAGTGGAAAACTTGGGTACATCGTGTCCATGTGGACTGGATAGATCTGGACTGTCACATCTGGTAGTCCTGCATGATGTACTGGTCAGACGGTCCAAATCTCGTCCATCCACCTGAACTTGGTGCTGGAAACAGATACTCTTCTTTTGTTACTTTTAGAGACAGTCTTTCATGTATCTTATCCGCCACAGGCGACATTATGACTTGCACATGTAAATATAATCATTAGTCCAACACTCCAACCAGCCTATTTTATTTATTCCGTTTCTTCAATTTCTTCACTTCACCTCCCTGTTGTCACCTCTCTCTCTCTCACTCTCTCTCTCTGTTAAAGCTGTAGCCTTTCACCCGAGTCAGTGAATTTCAAATGCTGTACCTGATGCGTTGACTTTTGCAGTTCCTTATAATGATTACATGTTGATAGTTTCTGGTCAGATTTCTAGCCAAATGTTGATGCATGTATTTAAGTGATGGTGTTTTTAATTTTTTTGTTAGCTTGGCCTTCCATGGTGATGATGTGGTGTCGCATAGAGAGAGAGAGAGAGACCTTTGGCTCCTAGGCCATAGACATGATGAAATATTTTGCTTTCTGGTTCCGAGTAAAACTGCTTTGCCTTTGCAGGAACTTTTAAGGCATTGTCTAGGAAGCAAATGGTACGGAGATGGCCATTTATCAGACTAGGTATGGAATAATCGAACAATACGTGCTGCTCCTGAGGGTTTTTCAAGTGTCATCCGGTTGGTTCCACTATTGAAGCTTTTTTGTTTGGGAGAGCTCGAAGCATTTTTTCTTTTGGATAGAAGATAGCAAGCGCATAAGGTCCCATGCCATCGAGATTCTTGTATTTTTTGTTGCAGACAATGTAAAGCCTATCATTCTTACATGTATTCTTTAAGACAAAGTGAGAAATGTCTTTTGCTTCTACTTTTCATAGGTTTCTCAAAATATGTATTCTTTCTTTTTTTAATTTTTTTTGGTTGTTACAACAGAGGTTCTCATTTCAATTTCATTCTTCCAAAGGAATAGAAATCAAATGCTTATATATTTGTTGAACAGACTTTTAGCTTTCCGCTTCTCTATGCTCCTGACCATACGAGTGCTTAGTTATACTTAAAGTGCACCATATATGGACCAACGATGCTGCTAGTCAAGCACGAATGAATCATTTAAAACTTAGTACATTGACAAATAGACTCATCAAACTGCTGTCTTTTAGTTTTAACCTTCTTTCTTCTGAATTTAGCTTGCTAATCTGTCACAGCTTCAAAACTCTAATCTCAACAAACAATGATGAACAACATTCTTCATATCGCGGGTTTGTCCATCGTTTGGCACCATTTAGAAAACTTTTTGTAATCAAACCAGGAGTCAACGTCTGGTCTCTGTCATCCCTACCAGCCAAAGGGAGATGCCAGCAGCGAAACCCGAGTCCTCTGGGCCGAACGAGACACCGGTGGCCAGGAAAGAATGAAGAATGGAACAATATCAAAACATCCATCACCAAAAGCATCTGACACGCTTTTCACACTATTTATATTGCTCTAAAGTCATGAGAATTGCCACCAAGGAGACCAATCAGCCGATTCATATCTCAACTACAGGAGATTCTTCAGTCAGGTGCAAAATTATACAACACAGCATGGAATTGTCATACCCAAAATGCCAGCTTCACAGAATACATTGCGTGGTCGGCAGAGAAAACACACAAAAAGAAAAAGCTAGTTTTACAGAACATGATACTCTCAACTCCCCCACCCCTCCCCTCCTCCCTCCGGAAGTCCTCGCCTGCCTAGAATTACAAAAATCGGAGGACAAAACTGAGCTGTGTTATCAATCAATCGGCAAGGATCATCCCAAACATGGAAGGCTTCGGTGGTGCCAATCTCTCCGCAAAAAAAAAACACCTATCTGGCACTAGTAACAATGCAACCCAAAAAAAAGTGCATCAAGACCCCGTTTCCATTTTCAGGATCTTCCTTTACTTCGATCTTTCCTGCGTCATTATTTAACAAAATAGAAAAGAGAGCTGGTGAGGAAAAAATGAACAAAATGCCACTGCTAGAGGAATAGAACAAGGAAAGAATTTAGTGAACGATGCAGTCGAAAAACAGAAGTTGAAACCGCCCTAATGGACATGAGATCATCACAAAATATACAAAAAAAGAAAAGCATAGGTCACAGGTTGGCATCACACACTGCCGATCCTACCATCAATTTGGTTACAAAATGCATATAGCAGAACATGACTTCCAACAGTTCCATCTATGAATAAATTTCATGTAAAGTGAATTTCACAAGTATTTCTCCTGATTTTTCATGGTAAATTTTCCTTGGATTTGTCAATAGTAGGAAAATTAAAACAGTAAAGAAAATTATCTCTCTAGAAGAGTATGAAATGGAAAAATAGAATTATATGAAACTGTTAAAACCAGCCTATACCCAGGTACCTCTTCACTTAGCCAAACAATGCTCTGATCATTTCAGCCTAGTGCTTTCATTTAGAGCCAGTTGCTAATATCACATGCAATGTTCAATTATTAAGTAAAATGCACGGTTCCGGTTAGTTTACAATGATTTTTCCTCTGCAAATGTTCATCAACATCCTAACCTTAGCAGGGAAAACCCATTTAAATGTCTTGCCAAGTCTCTGATCAAAGAAGTTTGGGACTCTAATAGCTCTCATTTTCTAGTACGAGCTTCACAAACACTACAAAAGCACTTGATCTTGCTGAGTTGGTACTATGTAGAGTAAGCTTATAGCTTCACAGAGCATGCTGATCACTGTAACAAGCATATTATTTCTTTGAATCAGCATTTCAACATCCAGTACTCAACTATGGTGGAACAATAGGAAGGATCTTAAATTGGTAATCAATCAACCAGAAGCAGGTACACAGATAGTCTTCAATTTTTATAGGCATGAGAACAATGCATCCAGTCTCCAATAAAGCTTCACTACTGGAGAATAAAAAAGAAACTAATTGAATAATAAAAAGAAAGTGATTTCCAGTTGCGTGTATCCATTTACCTGGAAAGTGCTTCCAGATCTTTCACAACCCTTTTCAATCCATAAACAGCCATTTTCTTCACCTAGACATGGAAAATAAATAACATTTGATACATTTTGGAAAAATGTTAATTTGGGGATCTTAGAACTCAATCCAGAAAAGCAAGAGATTTATCTCCTAGATTTAACAGCATCATGTACAAAGACGATTGACACATGATTGTCAAATAGCACAGAAACTACCATTAGTAACGGCAGATGGAGGGACACTGACTATCTTAGAATAAATGTGATTCAATCATAGAAGGTGCCTTAAGGAAGTACTGACTGTACTTGAAACTGACGAAGGTGAGGAACCAGGGGAAAAAATTAGGAGGACCATGCGCAGCCAAAACAAGGGAAGTTAATACTTAAGATTGTGTACACACACAAGTGCATAGAATCAATACCTCCAACTTTTGCGCACAGGCGCGCATGTGTATGAATGCACAAGAATAAACAAAGTCCACAGAATTAATACCTCCAACTTATCTTCCTTGGCCCGGTGATTTGCAGGAAGTACACGGAACTCTTCTGTTAATCGAAGGCACTCCTTTACATTTTCAGGTGAGACAAAGTCAAGCGCAACTTTGATGCATGACTACAAAAGGAGGTTAGATCGCAATCAGCAAACTTGTACAAGGTCGCAACCATGATCAATCCATAAGATGCATCTGACAGAAACTATAGATAAAAAACAAATTGTTGTAGTTTCTGAGATAGCAGACACTAAATTGCACCTAAGCAATAAAAGACACATCACTAATTGCAAAATAGGAACACAAAACCAGAAAGTGCCAAACAGAGTTCATGGAGGTGGTAAAAAAAGCTGGTTGTTCAAGACATAAGCATACTATTATACAAAATTGGTAGACTCCATACTGCGAAACCGATACCACGAGGGTGATTGGTTCGTGTCTTACCAGCAGTTCCTGCTTCCAATTCTTATTTTAGAACCAACAGCCGAACAAGCCAAGTTAAGAACCTGCCGTTCTAAACCTGCTAGTTCCAGGACCAGTCAGCCAAATTCATTTTTATTTACAAGAGTTGTAAATATTATCATATAACATAAAATTAAGTCTTTTAAACAGAAGAACTTCCCTTGGTCAAGTGGTACCTGTTTTCATATTGAATTTATCAGGTAAATTTTATTTATATTGCACTAATTCAAAGCTGGCTTTCCCAAGAATCAGCCCGATTTGGATGGTTCCCGAGTAAGACCAGCAGTTGCAACCTAGGAAGCACGAATGAAACCGGTGCTACTCGATTTTGCATCTTGAGAAGGGGAAACCAAGCAGGTTGTCCCTAAAACCAGCATAGAACAATACTGATAAAGAAAGTTTAAATTAATTGTTAAGTCAAACCAGCCCAATTGCAGAACCGTCGTTGCACCTAAACAATGAGGACACCACATCCTTAATTGAAGAGGACAAACATAATTCCAACGTTGTGGTAAATGTTAGTGTGGGTGCATTGAATAAGCTGAAAACATTAATAAAGCAATCAGTTTTTATCTATTTTTTATTGATAATATAGAAATTTTTGTATCTCTTTATTGAACTCCAATGTCTGGATATGATTTTAATGCTCCATCTGGGACACTAAAGATAGGGGAGAAAATTTAAACTCCCCACTTCTCATTCTCACAAAAAAATTTCAAAAACTTCTCAAAACTTCCATCCAAATCTTGATTCCTTCGCCTTTCTCTCCTTTCCCAAAGGGAGCATTAGAATAATGTGGCTGACATGTGACGATCAAAGATGTTGATAGCATTGATTAAGAGACCATTAATAAAATTAAGGGCTGAGATTTCAAGATTACTCTGTCATTATAATTGGTCCTTAACCTCATAATTAGCCATCTTTAGTTCTATTGATTACTGCAATTTATTGATTCAAATAAACCCCGTTTTCTAAACTCTAGACATGGAGTTCTCTGTACTCCAACTTCATCGCTTTGATCCAATAATCACCTTATTGGCTCGTAGTGCCAGACAGACTTCTCCGCCATTAAAGCATATTGTCAAGCGTCATCAAGACTATGCACATGAACCACTTCCATCTCATCTCTGATAGACTCGTTCAAACCACACCAATAATGAGAGGTCATTGGGTCGTCAGTCTCGGCTAACCCAACTTAAATCAATAGGTTATTGAATTTGAAAGCGCATTCCTCATCTAAAATGTTCCTTTGCGTCAAAGAATGAAGCTTCTTGTACAATGCCATGTTATAATCAGCCGGTAAGAATTGCTTACATGATTGCTTTTCATGTCCTCCCATGAACTGATCCTCAGCTCTTCTATAAGGGGCTGCTGCTCCTCAACTCTCTTCCACGAGTGAAGCGCAACCACTTTCAAGTTTTCAACTTCAGCTTAACAAACACCTCTCTATCTTTGGCCATAAATGTATTCAAAATGGGTCTCAACAGTCACTTACCAATCTAAATAGTCATAGAAATGCTTTTAAGCAAAGCAATTCACAACTTCAATCTTGAATCCTTCATTATTGGGATTCAGATATATTTTAATTAATAAAAAAAAAAGGTATACTAAGTGAAGTTGCAATCTTTTATAAAGTGTTAAATATGACCTACTTGTTAAAATATCCACGATAGAAGCACGACCACTTTCAAGTTTTCAGCTTCAGCTTAACAAACACCTTTCTTTGGCCATAGATGTTTACTCAAAATAAGTTTCAACAGTTGCTTGCCAATTTATATAATCACCGACATGCTTTTTACTAAAAAAGTTTGCAACTTCAATCTTGATTCCTCCATTATTAAGATTGAGATATACTTCGATTAATAAAAAAAACACGCATGCTAAGTGATGTAGCAAACTTTTATTAAGTGTTGAATATGACCTACATGTTAAAATATCTATCTGCAATTTGCCACATCATATTACTATACCAATATTATAAACAATCTTAGTCGGCACAATTTTAGTCATTAAGATTGGCAATACACCTTTCAATCCACCTATTCCTGCATTATGAATAGACCCAC